TTGGATCCATTTGTAGCTTCCGGCGCCTAAAATTTTTTGCAGCTCTTGCGTTCAAAAATTCTATGTCAGAGAATGGATTGAATTTGCGATTATACTTTTAAAAAAAATATTTCTGCAACTACTTGGCTGTGGAATTCCATAAAACTTTGATAACACTCTCCTTGTAGTCTTCGGAGTTATTTTTTGCATGTTGAACCCATAGTCTTCAAGTATAAGCGCCAGTTCTTCCACAGGTATATCCGCTCTATCTAAATTATACGATTTTTCTGCGCAAAACTTTATAAACTCCCTCCATTCGTTTGACTTCGATTTCGTGGTTTTCGCGGGTGTCTCCTGTTCAATCTACTGGTGAATATTTTATTTATTTTCTTGACCGAAGCGAAACATTTTTTTACGTCTTGCCACTTGACATCTTCAAAACTGGAATAATAATTTCGAGGTTAGGGTCTCACTTACCTACCATGGCAACTCAACAATCAAGTCGACCACACATTTTATGTTTCGCTGGTGACTTTATGAAGAAAATAATTTGCATTGTTGAGAATGGAAAAATAAATTTTAAAAATATTTGATTTTCCACCACTATTCAGTGTGGAATTTTCTTGCCGAATACCACGCGAGGTCAAATTAATATGCGGGAATTTTTTCTCGCTCATCAATATTTTAAGAAAATTTCAAAATATTCATGAGCTCGAAAAATTTTCACATTACACATTACAACATTACACAAAATTCAACTCTCTGTTGAGGGTCTTGGAGCTCCATTGCTTGAATTTTGATGAATTTATAATCATGAATTTTATGTTTTCGGAAGATTCTTTGAACCGATGAATATTTCATTTCCAAATCTTCTTTAGCACTTCTTATCGATGACTCAGGAGATGCGTGAAAATATGATATTCTGGTTGTCTTCAGAAGTTACGAGTTACAAAATTCCTTAATCCTTTTGGAGTTGATCCAAATGCATTGAAATTGTTTTGAATTCGTATAAATTTATTGAGGTTCATTCGCGGTAGATTCGAATACCTTTTGTTGAACTTTCTACATGTACTGCTGATAATTTTATGACATTGTCCAAAAATAATAGACAAATTCATAAGAACTTCGTTTGAACAGTTTTCCTCCATCGTTTTGGAGGTTTTTGAAACTTCTGAAGTAATGAAAATGTCAATATTTTCAGAATTTAACTACGTCTTCTTACAAAATATATATCGAATGGGACATTTTCACAAATAAATGCTCACGAGTCCAAAACTTGACTATTTAGGTATAAGCATGATATACATAGTAAGGTATTAAATTGAAACAGCTTTCTGAATTTGTAATAATACATACAGTGTCACCGATGAAGTCCGCATCAAATGGGAAACTTTATTTATCGTTTTATGTGAAATTTGATTTTGGCAGTAGATTTTGCTTGAGAAATGATGTCAAATGGCGTCTACNAATGTCAATTTTGACAGGTTAAGGAAATCACGTGACCTATTTTGTAGACGCCATTTGACATCATTTCTTAAGCAAAATCTACTGCCAAAATCAAATTTCACATAAAACGATAAATAAAAAAGTTTCCCATTTGATGCGGACTTTATCGGTGACACTGTATATATGTAGTTGAAATAATCAACTTTCAGTCACTTTTCAAGCTTACGAAAAAAACTGTATTTTTAACCACCCCGTATTGAAGAAATGGAGATACGGTTGAAGTTTGGAAAGCCTCCAAGCATCACTAACTCCAAAATGAATTTCGGTACCATAGTATTCCTTGAAACAAATATATCAGCAATTTTAGAGGTCATGATTTCCAAAGAAAAAATTTGAAATTAATTCATATTTCGAAAACGGTAACAGATAGATGAAGGGAAATATCAGAAAATATTGTTAGGTAATTATTGTTGATTCCAAAAATTATATTATATACACGGTGTTCTATTTGAATAAAAAAATTAAAGTTGCTATTACTTTCTAATAGAAGTGGCAACACTGCATTGTTGAAAATAGTTAAGTTGGGTGGAGAAAGTCTGAAAGTGTTCTGTTGTCTAATGTGCCATCACCGTTAATCAGTGTGTATTGCTTAGAAAATGAATAGACGCTAGTTCCCACCAAATTATTTTCGTATTCATTAGCTTCCTGAGGCTGTTCATACAGACTTAGTTCTTCCTAATTAGTGTATAATAAGTATAACAATTTGAATCATATACCCTTTCACCTATTTAATGACTAATACTTTTACCAGAGTTTAGGTATAAAGTAATTAATGTTTTTTGAGCATTATAAAAGGAACTACCTATTTCATGACTGATAATTTCACAAGAGTTCAAGTATAAGCTAATTTAAAATGTTGGAAACATTCCAAAAAAAATTACTAATTCATTAAATGGACATTCAGCAAACTAATTGCCAATTTCCACAATAGAAAATATATTTAACAGATGGTAAGAATTCAATTCTATGTAGGCATTCAGTTGATTTTTCGAATTCTTGATTTTAATAATTTCCAAGAATTTCAAAAGATTGGGTTTCAATCTTTCTCTTCCAAATATGATTCGTCATAGTCGTGGTTGCCCTTCTGTCAAAAGATGGTTTACAAATGTGGAATTGGTATTCACATTCAAGAAACTACTCCTTTGTTTTTCCACTCTCTGTAATAAAGATCTTCATGTTTGGCCAATGTAAAGTTTCGATCAACTTATTTGTCCAATAAGGCACATCTAAGTCTTTCTTTTCAAGGAAACGAACCACGTTATTGGTGGGTTTATCAAAATATCTCAAAGTCCTTGGACGCTTATATTATCATTTCTTGGAATGGGATAGATCTGGTAAATGTTTTGAGCTCGTAGTTCTCTGGAAATAATGGAGTCGATAATATCTACCTTGTAACCGCTATTGATAGCAATTTGTTTGATGAAACTCTCTGAAAATTACTTTCTGATAATGTAAAATTCAATAGTCTGTGAATCATATTATTGAATGCTGCTACTTTATGATGATAGGGATGTATCGAGGAATTACGTAGGACAATGATTTGTGGAAATAGGATGATTCGTGGAAAATTGCAAAATCATGTTGATTATTTATTACAATGTCTTCAGAGAAATCAATAACAAATGCGTTTCAAAAATTGATAATCTATTTGATAATATTGTTCTTGTCGACATGTTTCGTTGGATAATTGGTATCACAAGTATGTGCAAAAAAATATTAGGTTTAAGAAATGGGTTTTTGGAATTCTGGTGAGAGGTTTGACGATATTTGCATACAAGACCAAAGCCTTTCTTCTGTGACGTATGGAAGTATTTTGGCAATCTGCATCGAGCCCTGAAAGAATATCACATTATTTATTGGATATTTTTGCCATAAAAGATGTGGTAAAGTCATTTACATCAATGAAAAAAATACTTGTGTTTCTATGTTGAACAAAAGAAGTATTGTTGCCATCTTTATTTGCATTTGTTTTTCATCGATACAATTTATCATTTCCATAAATTATGGGTTTCAAAGATTTGATGAGCGAGGTACGACAAAGTGATGTCATCCTAAATCCAATATGGTGAAATCCTTATCATTATAGAACTAAATGTTTTAAAATTTATAGGAAAAATATCTTATTTAGTAAATTGTGGGTGGACTAGGTCATACAACCAGAATGGCGTGGAAATATGAATATTTTTTTAAACACACCTTCATTGAAACGTTCCTCAGTACTGAACAGAATAGAATTCACATAGAATAAAGAACATTCTAGTGAAAACTTATTTCACCTACTTTCTTACTGACAAATGAATTATTTGATATTGTACAGTTTTGCTGAAACCTTGTTGTGCAATTTGCTAACCGAATAAATAGTTACGAGTAGGTACAATATTACATTACCTACAGTTATTAGGTAGACATAAGGTATATGATAAGTCTCCCAACAGGGACTTCCGAATTTTGATAATTGATAACTGCCATCTTGTTGAGGCTACATCTGTCAAACGAACGAATTGTTCCTTTAGATGATTTGATTTATAGCCAGTCTTCAAGAATGCCCACTGACTATATGTGAAAAGAAATGTTTTCTTTCCATATACAAAGAATTGGTCAGATTTCGGATAGGCGGTTGGTTACCTCGTTTACGGGCAGATGAGGCGATGACCAACGTGTTTTTTGCTATTCGCTTTCCTAGTTCGGGGAATGGTACTCTGAAAAAATTTTATTTTCCATTATCGGAAATCATCGACTTTATAAAAAAAAGTGTATTGTCTAACAAGACAAATATAATTAAGTTTACAGCTCTATGACTAAGCATGAGTATAATGGAATATAATGAATAGCATATAAAATCAGCAGAGTAATAGAGTAGTATAGATATTATACAAACAGTGATACATTCATATATAAATAATAAAAAAACATATACTATAGAATTCTAGTAGAATTGGCAGTGTGCAGAGAGTTGAAACACAGTATTTCACTTATGGGTTGAAATTAGATTCTAGTTCCACTTGCATAGAAAATAGCTTGTTACGAATTATATACTTGAAGCGTCTAAATGGAACAACAAAAATATCACATTCTGAATAGAAACTATTATTAATTTATACGTTGATCCTAGGCAAAGGCAAATAGAAAAAAAGTTCGTTTCTACTACTTCGTCTCAGTACGTGAAAATCTAGTTGAGATAACAAATCAGGGCAGTCAACCAGATTATGAATCAATTTATATATGAAGATACAGGCATAATATGTTCTTCAGTTTTCTAAGGATAAGAGGGCAAATCTATTTAGCAACACTCTATTATCAATTCCTTGGGATGGATAAGCTCCATCCAGTTTGTGAGCCATGTATTCTCTAGTGGAGTTTTGATGAACGATTATATTAGGATGACTGCACGCTAGATGTCGGATGTATCAATTAGTTTGAAAGAAATGTATGACTCACTATCACAATTGCCTCGTTATCACATTTACCCGCATTCACCTTATGTAAGAAAATTTTGTAACAATGCTGAAATTGACTTTTGTAATGTTGAATTTGAAAAGTTTTTTTTAAATAAAGAGCACTTCAAAAAAGCAAAAATTTGTAAAAGCAAATTAATTCGGAAACGGCATCGAGCCAAGTGGACGGAGCCTGCGCGCGCTCGCAGAAATCATATGAGTATAGCGCGCTGCGATCAACGAAATAGGAGTGTTGGACTTCTATCAGTTGAGTCAACATTGCATTACGACGATATAGTTTCTATTGGAATTGTGGAAACAAAGTAATGAGAACTGGACATTGGTTGAATACAAGTATAAATATAGGAGATATTGTACAAGGTGGTCTTCTGCTGCAGTTTCTCCGAGTTGAGATTTGAGAAGTAAAACAAAACTTACTTCCCAAATTGAATTCGTTATCGACGTCGCTGTGGAGCATATTGCATATTTTTCAAGACTAATTGCTGTAAACAGAACTTTTTAGTTGTAGCATTGCCCTTATCAGGGCTTATTAAAGAATTCGTACTTCGTAACATCCGGCATCAAGCCGCATCGAGGGACCCACTTGCCAGTCTTCTTGGACGTATTCGACCTACCCAGGCTCGAATACATCGGAGGGTACGCCGACCCAGCATATCTACGGGGCAGCCTACGTGGGCTGTCACATTGCACTGGTATCTGGGGTCTTTAAACGTCCGTGTGCCTCCGGAGGCCGTTCTTTTCCCTCGGGCTAGGAGTATAGGTAGGTCGAGTCGGGACAGTGTGTCGGCTAGGTGTTTTTTTTATTTAATTACAGTTTGAACAAGATATTTCACAAAACCTAGTTTTACAGTTAACGTTCGGATAGTCTTCTTTTGGGCGGTAAATAAATTGCCGCCGTTATTGGCGGAAAAATTTACCGGTGTAACTCCCTCATTCATATAACGTAGCACAATTATACCATCGTCAACTATATAATTATTATATAGCGCCCTGCAGCAGGGCTTAATATATTTTTTATCTCAGTTTCCATAACTTATTTCATATATCCCAGATATAAATCACGTAGAATTTGTTTGGTTTGTTTATTGAATTTTCATTGCGTGAAGTCGAGTAAATGGATGAAAAATTGAGAAAACTATCGACAGTAGAAAGTCAATCAAGGTAAACTCAATTCTGAAATCCAAAATCTTTGAATCTGTTGAAGACAGAAAAAACTATTAGGAGAAGAAAAACATTGAATTAGAAGTTGAAACCTATTTTCCCGAGATAGTTTCAGAAGTGAAAATCAAACTCAGAGAGTTTGAAAACTTGATCGTATCTTCTACAAGTCTTCAAGTCTCTCATATTTAAAACATGACCTCTACGAAATGGCCGACCAAAAAATTTTTAAACTTTCATTGTTTCACAATTCAGTTGAAAATTTGGTTGAATCATACGAAAATTAGATACGTAAGTCTTCAGATGTTGAGATTGCGTTATGTATGTAGCGTTGTTGATTCTGGGTATACTTATCTTACACCAAACACTATATAACTAGTCTTATTCCTCCGAGATCCGACTATTTATAGGTCATTCGAGTGCTTTCACCTATCCCCTCTTCCCTCTCTCCGCTTCATTGGTTGTAGCGGGAAATGACCATTTGGCGGTCAGTTATCACCCGAAGACGATTGTGGATACTAACAATCGAAACGTCGTGACGTAACTTGGTTTGGAATCCTTAAATTTTTAATTTTTCGTCGACAACTAAGCTGTTACTGTTGCGTCCAATCATGGAAATCGAATACCTGGGGGCTTGGGATGCAGCAGCTAATGTACCTCTCGTAATGCAGACTGAATTTGGTTTTTCCAAACCACGACGCTCTAGTTCGGGTGATTTCGAACGTCAGTCTCTTATTTCGTCGGATGTTGGATCGATGTGTGATCGATAGTCCCGCCTTGAATGTCCTTTTCTGCCGCAGTTATAACACTTAGGCCGTCCTTTTGCCTTGGGTGCAGCTCCATTCATCAAATATTTCTTAAAGAGTTCTTCAAGACCTATTATGAGTCGATCTGTTCCTTCGTCTTCCTTTTCATTGATGGCCCTCGCTATTACTTTTCGTTGTCGTCGCGAAGCATTTTTAGCAGATTCAAATTTTAGGGAATAAATGATGACTTCATTCTATTCTTTATGATGTGCCATCCTCAATGACTGGTGCAGCTCCGTGTGACGAACCTGTCGATGAAACTATAGACTTCAATCCAGTGGGTGAAGTCATCCGGTGTTTCTGGGTAATCGAGTCTTACTAACCTCTCGACTTCAGCTCCAAACTCTTGTAAACTTTCTGATGGACCTTGAGTTCTTATCTGACTTCCAAAACTGATACGACTGCTTCATAGTCCTCCTGTCTATTCACTGGAATATTTTGCAGAATTTTGAAAGCCTCTCGTCGTAGTGCCAGTATGAAAGTTTTGCTTTCTCGTCATTTCTCCACCCATTATTTTCCGCAGTAGCCTCAAATTGTCTGCGATAAATTGACCATGAAGATTCGGCATCAAAAGTTGGATTTTTAATAAAACTACTACTAGAAGGGGAGGGTGTCGTTTTCGATTTGCATTTTTCCGCAGTAATCCTTTTCGGTTCCGGTAATTCTTTCTGAAATTCCCGGAAAATCTCTTCAAACTTTTTGTCGACTCCTTCAAGTTTCCTTCCGACTTTTCCCTCTTTTGCGTTCATCTTCCTCTCTTCTGCGTTCATTTTCTTCTTTTCTGCGATTTTCATTCTCCGCCAGGCTCGCTTGCAAAGCCTCGAACATTTCCTTAAAGCTCTCAGAGCTTTCAGCAGGTTGGCTCTCTTCCGGACTCTGACCAGTGTCTCTCTCAGGTCGATCTCCCAGTTGAGGGTCCTCATGAAAGTGAGCTCCAAGTAGAACACCGAATCCTGGAGTATGGGGTTTTCTCCTAAAAGTCTGAGATCCAAGTTATCAGGATTTAATTTACGACGGGTAGTGGTGTTAGGATGTCTGAATAGGATAGTTTGGGTTTTGGTGGGATTTATTTTGATATGCCATTTGTTGCACCACTGCTCGAAATGGTCGATCATGTTTTGAGCTTGAATTTGCAAGCTGCGGGTGTTGGGAGCGGAAGAGTGAAGGATAGTGTCGTCGGCATACTGGAGGATTTTCTGGATTGTGGGAACGTCGTGAGTATAGATAAGAAATAAGGAGGGAGCGAGGACTGAGCCCTGGGGGACGCCGGCTTTGGGAGTGAAAGGAGAGGATAAGGCTTCGCCGACTTCAACGCGAAATAGGAAGCTACTAGTCTGATGAAGTGATGAGGAAGACGAATTTGGATAAGCTTCCAGATCAGGCCCACGTGCCAGACCTTGTCGAAAGCGTTTTGGATATCTAGAGAGATTGCAACAGTGTAAAAAGATGCGTTGATGTTTTGGGATATATGGGTATGTAGTTCGACTAGTGCGTTTTGAGTGAAGTGTTCTGACCTGAAACCATACTGGTGGGGAGGGATAATGTTATGATGTATGAGAAAGTCGTTGAGACGGTTAGTCATTAGTCGTTCCAGCAATTTGGCTAGGCAACTAAGCAGGCTGATAGGTTTGTAGGAGTCAGGATTTGTGAGATCCTTGTGGGGTTTTGGGATTAAGATTGTGTTAGCCTGTTTCCAGGCGTTTGGGAAGTAGGCGTGTACAAGACATGCATCAAGAATGTGTTTGAGGAAAGGAGTTGCGGAATCAGGAAGGTTTTTCAGTACTCGGCGGTTCACCGAGTCTGGGCCAGGAGCGGAATTTCTATCGCTGTGGATAGTATTGAGGATATCTTCCTCACTGAATGGGGATCTTAAGGGGTAGTTGACGTCGAAAGAAATTTGACCTGGGTGCCTACCCAGCTGTGCAGGCACTTGCTGGTGAATGTGGTTGAGAAGAAGGTTATCGAAATGAGGGTCTTTAGGGAGATGGAATATGTGTTCGACATTTCCGCGGAAGGCTTATGCTTTGTCAGATGGGTTGGAAATGATGTTACCGTCAATCACTAGGTGACTGTCGGTTTTCCGTTTTTGTTCCAGAAAGCTGTTCCATCTCGGTAGTCAAGTTTTTTATTTTCCTCAATCCACCTTTTCTGGGTGGATTGATTGATGAGGAGACGTATGCGGGCGTTAAGTCGATTCCACTCGGTTTTTAGGACTGGGTCTCTAGTTTGGACGAAAGTTCTGTAAAGCTGACGTTTGCTTTTGATGAGAGTTATGTGATGAGGTGGAAGTTGGGATTGATCGATTCGTCTGGTTGTGGTTGGAGTGGATAAGTCGTCTCAGTCATAAATAATTTTTTGAATTGTATCAATTTGTGCGTCAATTAGTCTGGGATGGTTGAGGGGAGAATTATCAAGGGAAGAAAGTTTTTGATTGATGAGAAAGTGAAATCGTTTGACGTCTGTGAATTTCTGGTTTTTGTAGAAAATGGTTTCAGTAGTTGACGGAATTGGAAAGCTTAGAAAAGTTTTAACGAGAATGGGAGGTGATCCGACGTACTTGTGTCACCGATATAGGCCAGGTCATCGACCACCTCTATCAGACTCTCAGAGCACATGATATGGTTGATAACAGATGCCCCAAGGTGGCTCAGAAACGTCGGGTCGGGACAAGGAATTTTGTATCGATTGTGTTCGAGTAGAAGGTTGGCTAGAAGACGACCGTTGGCATTGGAGGTAGAATCTCCGAATTGTGTATGTCGAGAGTTGAAATCTCCTATTAGGAATGCTTTAGGGAGAGAAGCTGCATATTCGATTAATTTTCTGGACAAAGATTGATTTGGCTGATTGTAATAAGCTATGACAGTTATGTTGCCGGTGTTAGAAAGTAGGTTGATCGCCAGGCAGTCGAGTTCGGATAGGATAGGTGGAAGGATGTGTTTTTCGTGGGCTAGTCCCCGTTTGGTTAAGATAGCAATGCCTCGTGAATGTTGATCTTTTGGTCGGTGGGTAGTGTTGAAACCGGAGAAGTTTTGAGGGTTTTTGGTTAGGGTATCGGTGATACGAAGGATTTGAGTTTCTTGATGTGAAGGAGGGTTTTGGTGTGTTGTTTTCTACTGAGACCCTGGGCGTTTTCAGTTCCGATGATTAAACGCCCATTATCCCGTACCGTTGGACAATCAACCATTCAATTAAGCTATCAATTCAGTGAAGGTAAAGTCCAATTTATTGCCACTGGCAGTGGCGAAGAGAGAGTGTCCCAATATTTTTTTAAATAGCTCGTTTGTGAGCGACAGAATTTCAGTTCTCATGGCAGGCTTGAGGTTGAGGAGGAGGGTAGTTTGAATTTTTATAACAGCATCAATTTGCTGAGTAACTCGGGTAACGGTTTTGGGGGTTTGGATTTTGATGGGGGCCAGCTCTTTAGGATTTTTGGGGGTTATAACCCTTTGGGGCACATTAGGGAGAAGGCAGGATGGTCGCCTTCACAATTAGGACATTTAGGTGTGGCAGTTTTAGTACATTTTGTAGGGGGATGGGCCTTGCCATAGTGAGGACATTTGATTTTGTGAGTGGGATATTCTGCAGCTGAATGTCCCGTTCCACTGCAAATATTACAATATTTGGGAATAAGAGGAAGCGGGTTGATGTTCGAGGCCTCGCACTCGTGAGTTCTGCCGTATATATTGACACCGTGTGTCAAGCAACGGGTGTATTGTTCTTCATGCGCGGTAATAACGCGAATGAGAGTTGTAGGTTTACATGTTTTCTTGGAGGTTATCATCCAGATTTTTAGAGTTTGCAGTTTAGCAGCTTCGAGGAAGCCGCTGATTTCGTCTATGGTGAAATCAAAGTGTACTTCCTTGATAACGTAAGAGTGGTGAGGTTCTTTAGGAGCAGGAGATTGGGAGTTACTTGGATGTAAGTCTATTACTTTGAATGAAGTATGAACAGTACGGTCGCGGAGAGGTTTTAGGAGATTTTCTACGGATTTGAAGTTGTTAGAAGTTTTCAGGAGAGCGGTACGGTTAAAGTCAACCTTGATTTCCGTGATTTGACCACGGAGAAATTCAGTGGAGTTTAGTAGATTGAACATAGCCCTTTGACTTGCCAACTTGTCAGGGATTTCTCTTATGTTGAATATATTACTGAGTTTAGGTAGCGGTACGTAGGTCGAGGTTAGCGGTGGGATCTCGGTTGTCTCGCGCTCGGGAGAAGAGCCAGAGAAAGACGGGGAGCGATTAGTGAATGGGATTTGAGTACGTTTTTGTTGGCGAGTTTGTCTCGTCATTGTATTAAGGAAGTATACGACCTTATGTAGTTCACTACGTTGTTGGTTTATCCTAGGTTTGGCAGCACTTCCAGGTGCTACCTCTGGCACTTCACTGCACCTTCGTCTTTTGGATTAGGCTCTGTTGCCTCTATCGGAAGAGTTTGAATATAATAATCAGGGACTCTTCACGTCGGTAGACAATTCGAGATAATTCTATGGGTTCAGGTATACTCACTTAACTTGCACTATCACTTCCACTTTCACTTTAGCACGACCTTCACTTAACGCCTCGATATGCTCGCAGCCAGCCTTTAAATATCGTAATCGAATGTTGTCGAAAATTCTCCGAAGTTCTACTGAAGTCGGTAACATTACTCTTGCCGTTTCTCGATTGGCTGGGAATCATTTGCACTAGTGCGCTCTTAGCGACTTCACGCCTGATTTATGGCTACCAGCGGTGGCCGGTGTTATTTTCTTTCGGGTATGATTTACAATATAAAAAACGGTCATGGAAGTGAACACTTTTTACAAACCAAACTATCGTATAAAATACAAATTTTGAAATAGGAGAAACTGCACTACTCACAAGATACTTCTTCTTTCGTCCAGGTTCCTGACCAAAGTAAACAAGAGAGTCTGCAGGAATGTTGAGTTTTCCTTTTGACTTTCCAGGTTTCAAAAGCTCGAACTCACTAGGATTACAATCGAGATCCATTCTTATCACACCAGCGGCTGAGTCTACAGAAAAAGAGAGCCATGTCCATGCTGAAAAAGAATAGTTTTTTCTTAAACAATCATGAAAAAAAAAAACTTCAACTCACCTGCTACGGGGGATTTTCTGTGATGTTTTGGTAGATTCCAATCAATCTGTCGGAGTTTATTAGACCGTTTGAGTCTGTATTTCAAACTCAATGTCCCTGTTTTCGAGTTGGAAGTGAGTTGAAACCATGGAGTCAGCCTACCTAATTCATCGAAATATCCATTAAATATACATTCACGAGTTTAAAACATGTCAAAGATAGTAGTGACAATAATGTTGATGTGCTAATAATTGTGTTTTTGAATGTACTATGAAAAATTGGTGGGACATCAGAAGAATAAAGTAACATCAGATTTTCTCAAATGTTCCGTTTTAATGTCATGTGTTTTTGTAGCTCCATATTTCAATGAATATGTATTCTATTGTGTCGTGGTATATACTGATCGATAGATAATTTGTACGAGTACTCAGTATATTGATGATGTTCTTTTTTTCCAAATTTTGATTCTTTCATGTCGTCAAGCGATTTTCCGCCAATTTTTCTCTGCAAAATCAAATTGAAACAAAACGCAGCCGAAACAGACCGAAAAATCAACTAGGCATTTGGCAATGATAGTGTTAATAAACGCAATGAATCCGAAGTTGGTTTGCAAAATTTTGTTCCGGAGATTTCAGTCTCGAAGATGTACTACGAAGTGCGACCTACAGTAAACCAGAAGGAGGATTTGAGGACTTCGGTGGAGACCGATCCATCGCAAACGGTGTGTGGGATTGCGGAAGAAGTAGCTGTCAGTTGCCATGCGGTTTTTGATGGTTTAAAACATATTGGGAAAGCCAAGTAGCTTGAGAGTTGAATTCCCCATGATTTAAAAAACGACAGAAATTGTCGTTTCAAGATATGTTCTTCTTTCTTTGCTTTCACACAACCAAAACGATCCTTTTTTTGGATTGGAATGTCATGTGTGATGAAAAGTGGATCCTCTACGACAATAAGAGATGTGCAGGGCATTGTTTCAACACCAATGAGCCACCCAGTCACTTCCCAAAGGCGAAAACTCACCAAAAAAAGATCATGGTTACTGTATGGTAGTCAGCGGCCGGTGTGATTCATTATAACTTACTGCAATGGGACCAAACCACCAGAGCAGATTCCTATTGGGAAGAAATTAATGAAATGGCAGGACCAGGCAAAAACGGTCTTCGTTGACCTCATCGAATCCTGAGCAGACAATTTTCATGCTGGAGGAATTATTCTACTCATGTTAGTTGGCAAAAGTGTGCTGATATATTTGGTGCTTATTTTGATTGGATTGAATGAGTATTTACTCAGATATCATAGTTAAAACTAAACAAAACTTTTGAAACAACCTGAAACAATACGTAATTCCAAGGAACAATACGTAATTCTATTGAAGTCATGAATTTCAGCAATCCTTATGTGTCCTGTTAATAGTAGAACCCACTCTGATATATATTAGAGAGACAGGAATCTTCGATCTCAATTACGATGCATTGAAACAAAAAATTTGGACCATCCTCAATCAAGAACAAAAGATATCGAAAATTTTGGTATAGAATAGATCATTAGGAGGCAATCAATATATGGATAATGCAAATCGTATTCAGGAAAATATGATAAACTTCCAACAGAGCATTTATACAAACTAATACAGGAAACAAGTTTGTTGGAATAGTTGTTATGGAAAGATGAGATGCATTAAGTCCATAAGGCACTGTAGAAATGAAAGAAATCCAGCAAGAGGAGCAAAAACCCAAGAATGAGATGGAGATGGATGAAACTGAACAATACAAAGGCGCTTCGGGCCACAAATATTTCCACAGTATCATTTACAAATATCGTTCAGTGGTGAAATATCTTTTGACTAAATTCGCGGAAAAAACGGTGATTTGGAAAAAGCACTGCCTGAAAATACAAAAAGTACCTTATGAACAAATGACTGAATTGAATAATCATCTAGCTCATCATACTTTTTATATTTCAAATCATAATGAATCAATGTAATATTCCACAAAATGCTCCAGAATTGATGACCTTAGAAATTGAACTCTTTTCTGACAAAAATATAAAATCTACTATTTTCAACTTCGCTAAAAATATATTCATCTTGAACATGTCATAAAGAAATATAACCATGATACTGACCAGGTGAATTGACTGAAAGTAATGTTCCCAAATTATTCTTCTGTTGCCTCATCAAAAAAATTCCGGTGAACCCTTTCGGATCATTCATTGCTGATGTTATAGCCGTTGCATTGGTCATAGGAACGTTACCATAGGGCAACCGAAATTTGAAAGCTGGAAATTTTGCAATGGGCCCTTCCACCACTGAAACTCCTTGATCTTTCGCAGAAACGTTAATCATTTTCAGTATGTCCACCTCATCTGAAAAAGAAAATAACAGTTTTTTTAATGATCATACAAGTTTTCCTAGGAGAATGGAGAATTTTCAGTCCAAGTGATTGATAAGTAATTTTTATCATTTAAATGATGTTTGCATGTTAGTTAGTGAACTCGTTCAGAACAACGTACGTATGATCTCAACACCACCTAGAGCTATTTTGACCTGGCAAAGTCCCATAAGTGATGCTAGGCCGAACCACTGAGGAAGCCCTGGTGGATCTAAACAACGCTGTCTGGTGCCGTGCAGTGAAAGATGGAGGACGAATTTCGTCCGGCGGTCGATATCGAAGCATGGTTTTGTAACTGACCGCCTTTGGAAGCCTCCAATTCTCTATTCGAGGACTGCTATATTTGCTATAGTTCAGGAAGATTTGGAAAAATCAAAATTTGTGTTCAAACGGTTGAATAGATATCAGAAATATTCAAAGAAACAATATTATTCAACATAAGTAACATCATACGTAAAATGCATTTTTAGGAACTATTGTCTTAAACTGCTTTCTGGATTTGAAAAATTTCATTTCCTGTCAGCGACGGGAGACAAGTTTGACTGAAAATATTGAAAATACGTATAGAACCTTTTCTTTTGCTGTTAAGAAGGACAATAAAATACTTTCTTACAGTTTCCGTGATCGCTATCAGTTCAGGAATCATTTCAGAAACCAACATTTCAATGGGCTTAAAAAATTTCGGCGACATAATGTAACTGAAAGCTGAAAATATCGTAAAATCCCATGAGAACTTTTTTGTTCCTATCAACGAAGTGAATCAAATGCCTGATACATAATTGCTTTAGGAAATATTGGTGAAACTTTGGAACATTAGAGAAGTGTCATAATCTAGAATGTGTAAAAATTATTTTCCTATTGATATCCAAATTCTGATTTATATCAGGATCATCTGATTTTCATTTGCTTTCATATATTTTTTTCTTTATATTTTTGTTGCCATTTCTCATAACTGGCTTTGGATGATAAGTGACCGAACAAACTTGTAGTGCTCTATTCTGGAGTTTGAAACTTCGCCTTCAGGCTGTTATTTTATATTTCGTCCAATAAAGATTATCATTACTATTATTCCAACCTCAATATGCGCTAGTTAGGAGCTATATTCAGGAGGGTGTGCCAGCATTACCAACCAACGATGACTCCCCACTATCGGGAAATGACAGACTTCTGCATTTCTGCCTTAGTGCGACAAGTTAACTCTCAGTGTAGGGAGTTGAGACTGGCCTAAACGACATGTTCTTTGTATAATTTGATACTAGTATTAGTTTGCAAAATTTCCATAATCCTTACAACTATATACTTGATTTATACGATAGTAGGTATCACTGTATTTTATTATTTATATCGGTTAGACAAATGAGTTTATATATGTCTTACACGTTTTTTTACATGTCCAGTTATACAAACATGTACTCCCATGAATTGATGAACCGATGATATTTTTTGGTATATTTCAACTATATTTTTATTACCGACTTGAGTTTTCATAATCTCAATTCGAAAACTATATATCTATCTATCTATCTTTTAAAATTTTGCCACTTATATCTTCATGAATGACCATTCAAGTCTTCATAAAAACTTGTTCAATTCATTTTTCATGGAATTTATCATCACTTGAGTTTACCGACTTGGATTTTCATATTTTCAATTCGAAAACTATGTATCTATCTATATATCTTTTCAAATTTTGCCATGAATACTTTCATAAATACTTGTATAACTCATTTCTCATGACATTTTTCATCATTTTTGCTTATAAGGGTTTGATTTCCAGCAAATATAAAATAATTTTCTCATTATTCAGAACAAATTCCTACTTCATCAAATGTAAATTATATTTCGATAGGTGCAATTGTAACCTTTGACGTGAAATGAACTAATAGAAATAAATTTCCCCAAACCAGAACTGAAATACCGTCTCTTGACACGCGTTTCTCTAATCAAGTTAGCATCATCAGGAGATGATCCAACTTGTAATGGAAAAGTGTTTTCAATAGACGGAAAAAATATTTTCAAATGAATTTTTATCATTACAAAGATTGTTCTCAATGAGCAATTCATCAAAATTGTCATTTTTTGTGAACCATATTTCTTAATTTCCATTGAGAGAAGATATTGTTACGTTTTTTCCCATAGGTTCACCAATAATTGACTAGTCTGAATAATCAAACTTAACTTTTTTTCACTTTAAATGAGGCTACTACTTCAGGCCATTTGGAAGAGTAGTCCATCATAACCATAAGTGCGACTCTTTCGAAAGGGCACCCACTGAGGTACTGCTTCAACTTTTCTCTTTGCCTTGTGTTCGGACCCTTTCTCGAAGAGCACAGGTCACAGCGCTTACCCCACACTTCCACGTCTCACGCACTTTCACCAGGGTTCTATTCACTCCAAAATGCCCTCCAGTGCAACCATCGTCAAGCTGCTCGGGGATACTTGGAATACACGTCTTAGAAAGGATCATCTGGAATTTGTGGGTTCTTCCATCCGGTCTTTCCCATTTCCGAGTGAGTAGGTCACCTCGAATGCTCATGGAGTCCCATTGAAGCCAGTAACCCTTTTCCTGCTGGTCGTGCTTGGTAATATTTTGCCATTCCGGCCTCACTCCTTTGACAATCCATTCTTGCACTGTGTTCAAGTGGGGATCCTCCTTCTGCGCTACGATGATATCTTGCTTCGTCAGGAAGGTAGTGTTACCCTCACAGAGGGAACCGGAAGCGGCGGAGGTAGGGTAGCTTATCTCCGTATCAGAGATGTTCCCGCTACCTTATCACATCTGGTGGAAAGTTCTTCTGGTAGCTGGGTGTCCTTGTCCTCCTGGTGTTGGCAAAATTTGCATCCAGATGTCAGGCATGGTTTTCTTGAGAAGTTATCTGCGTTTCCGTGACTCTTTCCTTTCCGATGTTGAATTTCAAAGTAGTAAGTTTGTAACTTTTTGATCTACCTAGCTATTTTTCCTTCTGGTATTCTAAAGTTGAAGAGCCATCGAAGTGCTGAGTGGTCTGACCCGATCAAAAATTCACGGCCATATAAAAAAGAGTGGTAGTGATCCACCGCTTTGACCACTGCGAGGAGTTCTCTTCTAGTGACGCAGTAATTTCTTTCGGACCTTCCCAGGGACTTACTGAAATAGCTGGTGACGACTTTTTCTTTCTCTTGTACCTGGGAAAGTATCTATTCCATGTTGAGATGCATCCGTGTCCAGTATAAACAAACCCTCCTCCTTTGGGTATGCCAGAACCAGGGCGCTGGTCAAATTTCTCTTCAGGGCAGCAAATGCTTGCTGGCAGTCTGGAGACCAAACAAAAGGTTTTCTCTTTTCAGTTGAGCTATGCAGCGGTCTGGCGATTTTTCCAAAGTCCTTCACGGAACGCCGGTAGTAGCTAGAGTCCAAGGAAGCTTCTTACGTCGTGCTTACTCTTCGGTGTTGGACGTTCTTTCACTGCCTTGATTTTATCCGAATCTTTTTCAACTCCTTTGGAAGACACAACGTGTCCCAAGAAATTCACCTTTTCTTGGTAGACGCAGCACTTCTTGGGATTGATCTGCAGTTGAGCATTCTCTAGCCTCGTGAAAACACTCCTCAAGTTTGACAGATGTTTGTCAACACTTTCTCCGGTGACTATAATGTCATAAAGTTAGACCAAGCAATTTTTACAGGTAATTCCTCTCAACACCAACTCCATCAAGCGTTCAAATGTTGCGGGAGCGTTGCATAACCCGAACGGCATAAACTCAAACTGGTATAATTCATTGCCGGTGGAGAAGCGAACGGCCACCTGCCAATATCCGCTTTTCAGATCTAGTGTTGAGAACCATCTGCATTCGGCCGAAATGTTCAGTGTGTAATCCATTCTAGGGATAGGGTGATTGTCCTTTCTGGTGACATCATTAAACCCTCTGTAATCTATGCAAAATCTCATCGATCCATCTTTCTTAGTCACCAACACAACATGTGACGACCAGGGGCTGTTTGATTCCTCGATTACTCCTGTCTCCAACATATCTTTAACAATAGATGCCGCTTCGTCTTGCTTTTTGAAAGGGAGACGTCTGGTTGGTTGACGTATGGGTTTGGCATCGCCAGAATCGATGCGATGTTGAACTAAATCCGTTCGACTAATGGTTTTGCCCTTTAGAAACATATCGTTGTCTTCCTCGACGAATCGGGTGGCCTTGCATAGTTCTTCTTCAGACAGATGGTTCCACGTCTCCTTGCGGGTCGCTGAGCACGCTGTGATATTCTGGCGATTTTTACGATCAGTTCGCAGGTGCCTATTATTTGCCCTTTCTTGAAAGTCACTCTTTTATCATAAGGGTTGATTTTTCTTACTGGAATGGTCTGATTGTTACCATTCACGAGGGATATGGCCATGATAATTCCTGATTCAGAGCCGTTGGGTGGCTCTATCAATGCTGTACTCAAGCCAGCAGGTCTAGCAATTTCCGTTTGAATAATTTTCTCGGTGTTAAGAGAGATTCTGGAATCTTCCAGTATAACCACCTTGACGCTGTCTTGAGGCTGCAAGGGTACGTCGAGCAAAATTTCCTCTTTTCCGACTTTCACCAGTTTATACCTTATATTCACCATGAATCCGTAGGGGGATATGATGTCTAGTCCCAGAATGAGCTCGTCGACAATAATAGACATTGATACCATAGTTTAATTTCGCAATTCCCAAGCCTCAGTCTCCCTTCAGCTTCTCCATATACTATCAATCTATCAACAGTGGCTGTTTCCAGAACAGGTACTACTGATAATTTCTTCAAAGTGCTTCTGCTGGAAATGTCGGCTCTTATTACTGACCTCGTTGCTCCAGTATCGATGGTAAAGAGGCACTGATGATTATTCAGAAATCCGTCGACAACTAAGCTGTTACTGTTGCGTCCAATCATGGAAATCGAATACCTGGGGGCTTGGGATGCAGCAGCTAATGTACCTCTCGTAATGCAGGCTGAATTTGGTTTTTCCAAACCACGACGCTCTAGTTCGGGTGATCTCGAACGTCAGTCTCTTATTTCGTCGGATGTTGGATTGATGTGTGATCGATAGTCCCACCTTGAATGTCCTTTTCTGCCGCAGTTATAACATTTAGGCCGTCCTCTTGCCTTGGGTGCAGCTCCATTCATCGAATATTTTTTAAAGAGTTCTTCAAGACCTATTATGAGTCGATCTGTTCCTTCGTCTTCCTTTTCATTGATGGCCCTCACTATTACTTCTCGTTGTCGTCGCGAAGCATTTTTAGCAGATTCAAATTCTAGGGAATAAATGATGGCTTCATTCAATTCTTTATGATGTACCATCCTCAATGACTGGTGCAGCTCCGTGTCACGAACCTGTCGATGAAACTATAGACTTCAATCCAGTGGGTGAAGTCATCCGGTGCTTCTGGGTAATCGAGTCTTACTAACCTCTCGACTTCAGCTCCAAACTCTTGTAAAGTTTCTGATGGACCTTGAGTTCTTATCTGACCTCCAAAACTGATACGACTGCCTCATAGTCCTTCTTTCTATTCACTGGAATATTTTGCAGAATTTTGGAAGCCTCTCATCGTAGTGCCAGTATGAAAGTTTTGCTTTCTCGTCATTTCTCCACCCATTATTTTCCGCAGCAGCCTCAAATTGTCTGCGATAAATTGACCATGAAGATTCGACATCAAAAGTTGGATTTTTAATAAAACTACTACTAGAAGGGAGGGTGTCGTTTCCGAATTGCATTTTTCTGCAGTAATCCTTTTCGGTTCCGGTAATTCTTTTTGAAATTCCCGGAAAATCTCTTCAAACTTTTTGTCGACTCCTTCAAGTTTTCTTCCGACTTTTCCCTCTTTTGCGTTCATCTTCCTCTCTACTGCGTTCATTTTCTTCTTTTCTGCGTTTTTCATTCTCCGCCAGGCTCGCTTGCAAAGCCTCGAACATTTCCTTAAAGCTCCCAGAGCTTTTAGAAGGTTGGCTTTCTTCCGGACTCTGATCAGTGTCTCTCTCAGGTCGATCTCCCAGTTGAGGGTCCTCATGAAAGTGACCTTCAAGTAGGACACCGAATCCTGGAGTATGGGGTTTTCTCCTAAAAGTCTGAGATCCAAGTTATCAGGATTTAATTTACGACGGGTAGTGGTGTTAGGATGTCTGAATAGGATAGTTTGGTGGGATTTATTTTGATATGCCATTTGTTGCACCACTGCTCGAAATGGTCGATCATGTTTTGAGCTTGAATTTGCAAGCTGCGGGTGTTGGGAGCGGAAGAGTGAAGAATAGTGTCGTCGGCATACCGGAGGATTTTATGGGTTGTGGGAACGTCGTGAGTATAGATGAGAAATAAGGAGGGAGCGAGGACTGAGCCCTGGGGGACGCCGGCTTCGCCGACTTCAACGGGGATTTGTCGGTTAGATAAATAGGAAGCTACTAGTCTGATGAAGTGATGAGGAAGACGAATTTGGATAAGCTTCCAGATCAGGCCCACGTGCCAGACCTTGTCGAAAGCGTTTTGGATATCTAGAGAGATTGCAATAGTGCAAAAAGATGCGTTGATGTTTTGGGATATATGGGTATGTAGTTCGACTAGTGCGTTTTGAGTA